TTTTGACTCTAAACATAGACATGCATGAATGTAATCAACAGAAACTTGCAGAAGAACATAGTGACAGTGTTTCATAGATTTACTATCCAATATATGAAATATGCAATTGCTGAGGTAAATCCCATCATTCTCTGAAAGTTAATTATATTAGGACCCAGTGGAGTACCAGAACTCAAACTGTGTCTATAAATGTTGTCTGCAGAACCCATTAAGGTTTTAACGGTTCGAAAATTCTCAAAAAATGTGAAACAAATAACTCCAACAAAGTGATTGGGAAAAATATGATTTTATGTGCCCTCGGCAAAAACTACATACATGAAGGCAATACAAAATTGTGTTTTTTCAATCGCTCTGTTAGATCATCTTACATTATAATCCTAGTGTTAATAGTATTTTTTTCATGATTTTTTGGAAACTTCTACACCATTGAAATCTTAAATGGGTTATGTGGTAGCTATTGATAGAAAATATCGAATATCCATAAAAGAACATAATGAAAAAACTTTCCTGCTTTATGCTACCTCCCTTTTGCAACCAAAATAGTACTCCCTCTGTAAAGAAATGTAAGAGCGTTTAGACCACTATTGTCAGTTTGTAACAGGTTCATCTACAGGACTAAAGCTCACATGACCCTGGACAAATAAAATAGAGAACATAATTCCTAATCCAAAATTTTGATTTAGAGACCCATCCTTCCTGGTAAAAGAAATCATCTACCTAACATGCTATGAGCGACTTGCATCAGAGTGACAATTTTCACCCCGCCTTACAGACTTTGCTGGGCTTCAGCTTAACTTTCAAAAGAGAAAGTAGCTAGACTTTCCTGCGATCTGTCAATATAGAAGTTTCAAGAACATGTTGAGTGAAGAAGTGAAATAATGCATAAACGGTGCTCTCCGTTGCTTGAAAGAAAGAGGGAAGAATCCAGTGTATGATAAAATAATAAGTCCATATGGATAATTACAGGTTACAACATGCAGTAAATACAAAATGAGACCATGAATTAGTGATCTATAAAAGGTCTCATGCTAGTTTACAGAGGGAGTACATATCTGGACCCCAAGCTGCAAATGAAGTACATACAAAATGAAGCGTGTCGCCTAAAATTCAGAAAATCTTACCTTGTTTTGTATTTCCATAATATGAAAACTAATATGTCTTGTTATGTTACTCTAAATAATATATGCATGCATTCTTCAGAACAAATTCCACTCAGTGGTTTGATGGATACTAATGGCCCTGAACTGATAGGCATCGATCATTAACCCTCTCCTTGATGATAATGTGATATACACAATAATTTCAGAATAAGGAGCATTCAGTTTATGGTAGCAAGATATTGGATGTCATTTTTTAAGGGAATTTTAGATATCATATTAGTAATAGAAGAAACCGCGTAGATGAACTGGAGCTGGGGGCACTGTCGTTGACCATTGCAAAGCACGTTGTGGCAGCAATGCCTACGCCACCACACCCTCCTGTGACTTCTCCAGCAGTCAGCACACGGGGAAACGACAACGCCTCTCCTCTGCTCGGTGTCCTCGCCCGTCTCTTCGTCAAATCTGTACAAAACTCACAATGTCTTGGAGATGTTAAAAAGGTAAGTAAGAACCTGAGCTATAAGTTGATTCCAGAAATTATCGCAGAGAAAAGTCTGAAACTGTACAAAATTCACAGCAACATGTGCTTTAAATATGATTACCATTACCTGATGCAGCCTCAAACAATCGAGCACATATGTATTTTCCCATGAATCACTCGTATATTTATCAATGATAGCTTGCACAAGCAAGTCCCATAACCGAGAGAGGCAATGTATTATTCATTCAAGTCTGATAATTGAGAGATAATGCAATATGCAAGTCATCGTTGACTGAACTAAATTTCTGAAAAAGAAATTACTGAGCAGACAACAGAGCATGGATATTACTATGTACGTATAGGTGAATCTTTCCCTGCAGCTCGTTTGGATTTTCATCGAACACCTTGTAGGCATTATAGATAAAAAGAATCTACACAAACAAAGATGAGAGGTTCCAAGGGATTAACTCACAAAAAAGGAGTGGGATAGAGAGAGGATACAAAATTACAAATTAGTAGGAACAGTGGCACACCTTAGAGCATCTCCAACAGCCGCGCTATGCGCCGCGCGCAAAAAACCTGTTTGCCGCGCGCGCTTCGGCTGGTTTAGCGCGGCCGACAGCGCTGGCTCCAGCAGCCGCGCTATAATGCAGCGCGCGCGCCGCTCCAGCAACGCGCAAAAATACAGCGCGCGCGACTCGCCGGGCATGGCATTTTAGACACAAAATGAGTTTGAAACAATCATCAAAATGCAATGAACATGTGAAATTTGTCACAAACAAGTTGATGAAAATAAAAGTTCATGCCCACAAGTTCAAAATCTTGACCACAAGTTCATCCAACCAAGTTCAAAATGCAAACTAAAGTTCAAGACATAAATGAAAGACACATCAAACATCTTCCTCGTCTTCGTCCTCATCTTCCGAAGACGATTCTTCCACCTCCGAAGATGAATCTTCCTCCCTAACCTCATCACGCATCACATCACGTGAAGCTCCGACGGTGTTGGCAAGATCTTCAACGGCATCTTCATGGGAATGTGTGTGAGGAGGCACATCGAAAGACATTCCACCCATGGCCGAAGGTGCACCCATGCCTCCCATAAGAGAAGCGAAACTCATGCCTCCCATGGCGGCCATAGCGTCAGAGGGTGCTCCAAAGCCACCCATGCCTCCCATGGCGGCCGGAGGTGCACCCATGCCTCCCATGGCTCCCAAGCCACCCATGCCTCCCATGGCGCCAAGGCCATCGCCACCCATGCCGCCAAGGCCACCGCCACCCATGCCGCCGAGGCCACCGCCACCCATGCCGCCAAGGCCACCGCCACCCATGCCGCCAAGGCCACCGCCACCAATTGTGCGGATCATGGCTCTTTTTTGGATCAAGACTTCTTCACGGGCAAGGTTGGCATATTCCTTTTGCGCACCATTGAACAAAGATGTGTCCAAGAAGAACAATTGCTTCTCCCATCCCAACAACCTAGATCGCTCCTCCATGCCCACCTTCCTCTCCTCCAATGCCACTTTCCTCTCCTCGGCGGCCACCCTCCTCTCCTCGGTCGCCAACCTCCTCTCCTCGGCCGCGGCATCTTGGTTCCTTGCCATTTTTCTCACCTCGTTGGCTTCTTTTCTTGCCTTCACAATAGCTTCCATAACATTTTTGAGCTCATCATCTCCTTTCCTCTTCTTCTTTTCGGTTTTGTCTTTCTCGCACCCATCCGGTCATTTTGGCTTCGAGTATGAAACCGAGTTGGGTGTGGGGCTTCTCTTGCCGTCATCACTTGATGCATCATCCTCCTCATCATCATCATCCAACTCAATTGTTCGCTTGCGTTTGTTGCTCAAATGCAAATCATCCAAACCATCACGCTTCTTCCATTTCTCATCATCCTTTAACACTTCATAGCAATGAGGCAAGGTAAAGACCCTTCCTTTCTTGATCTTCCCCTTCTTGGTTGTCCTCGTCTCTTCTTTGAACAAGTTTTGTGCAATGTTGAACTACAAGAAAAACAAAACAAGTTAGCACTTCGGACACCAAAAACAAGTATGAGATGAACATATATGAGATGCCACTTACTCTATCATCCTCATTTGTGCCACTTGGGTTAATCTTGTCAACTGCCTTTTGTGCGGCCGCCCACTTTTGACAATCCGAGTTGATTGTGGACCATCGGGACCGAAGTGATCTCTCAGAGCGGTCAATTACACTCACGTTGTGATCATCAAAGTATTCTTTCATTCGCCCCCAATACGCATCTCTACTTTGATCATCTCCAATGGATGGATCCCTCGACACTTGCAAATAAGTATTGCATAGTAACTTGTCATCGTTGGTGCTGTAATTGCCCGCTCTTCCTTTTGGCGCGTCGACAATGCCCTCACCCTCCTCGTCCACCTCAAACTCATGGTCTTCCAAATGGATGTCATTGGTTTGAGACCAATGCGAATTGTTGGACCCAACACCCATAGTTGACATGTATGCATCATCGTTGAGACTATAAAGTTTTTTGAACAATGCAAATAAGCTATCTATATGTGATGATGCATTGAAAAAATAACAAGAAAATAAAAGTTGGAATTTTTTTCACCTTGCGGGCATTTCGTCGAACACGTGGTGCGCGTCGGCGGCCGGCTCAACGAGTGGGCTCGTCGGCGCTTCGGTAGTCGCCGCGGCCGTCGAACGCCCTGCAAGCTTCTTTCCCCTCGCCTTCGTGCTGCCGGAGCCGTCCGCCGCCTTGTTCTTCTTCGCCGAAGTTTTGCCCTTCTTCGGCCGTGCCGCATTGGGGAGCTTCGACGGTGCGGTGGCGGCACGGGACAGCGCCGGCGTGACACCACCCGTCGCCGTGGTCATCCGCGGCGGCAAGAAGAGGCTGCGCGCGAGGCCGACGCTCGGCGGAGCTCCGGCGGTGGCGACGCCAACGCTCCCCGCGCTAGGGTTTCCGACGGCGGCGGGAGGGGGGTCGCGGCTGTACAGCGGGGTGAGCGGGGTGCCGGTGTGCGCGACCATGGGTGGCAGGGCGTCGGCGCCAGCGCGCGCGTGGCGTAGGAGGAGGAGAGGAGAGAGTGCGGCGCGAGCGATCGAGTGTGCCGCGCGCGGAAGCGGGCGCCCGAAATACACCGCGCGGGATAGTGCTTCCGACCGCGCGCCCAACATGTTATAGCGCGCGCGTCCGCTGGAGCGACCCGCCGCATTACGTGCACGCTAAAACGGCCTAATTTGCGGCACGACGCTAGTTTAGCGCGACTGTTGGAGATGCTCTTAGTCCTGGAAGCTAAGGTTTTTTTCTCGAGGATACGCCAATGGAGTACCTTAGCTTTATAGAAGGGAGAAAAATATGTACAAGAGATTACATATGCGCTAGTTAGGTGTCACAAGTCGACCCTAACCAAGCCCCCACACCACTCCCTAGCTCTACTCGACTACTCTAATACTAGTTGTCCTCCAAACGCTCCTGCTTTGGAACAGGTCCTCAGATCATCAAAGATCATGTCCACCGTATCCCACTCGTTCTTGATCGTTCCCGTGCCGAATACCCTCGTGTTCCTTTGCTTCCATAGCGTCCAACAGATTAGCATCACGAAAGTGTCAAAACCTTTCCGAGATTGCTTATCTATTCGTTTTCTAGCTTCTGTCCACCACTGCACCAATCTTGAGTCGTTAGTTGGGCATAGGTCCGCCGTCAAACCCATTCTAGCAATGCAGCGGAACCACACTTGCCGCGAGAACACGTACTGCAGCAAAATATGGTCAACCGTGTCCTCCTCCTGGTCACACATGTAGCATGTTGACGTTTGGTCTTGCAATCCGTGCCTAGCTCTCCTATCCGATGTCCACAGTCGGTATTGCACTGCAAGCCACATGAAAATCTTGCACACAAGAGGTGCCCAACACTTCCATATGGCCCCGAAGGAGTGGAATCTAACTCCTCCCTCACACAACATCTTGTATGTAGATGATGATGTGTAGACTCCCGACGAGTTCCAAGCCCAGATGGGACAGTCCTCTACCTGAGCATCCAGTTAACCTTCCAAGAGGATCTCCCAAAGCCCGATGAACTGGGTGAGGCCCTCTATGCATAGGTCTCCTACTATGTCGTCCGTCCATGTATGCATGTACATCGCATCGAATCTCATGTTTGCCACTTGTGTCCGCACCTTTGCCACAACCAATGGAGCAATATCCTTGATAGCTGCACCATGTATCCATCAATCTTTCCAGAATAGGGTCTTGCCTCCTGAACCAACTTTCCATTTAACCAGGCTCCCAAAAGCTTGGTCCACCTTTTTGTCCGCGGTCAATTTGAGTCCTTGCCCAGGCCTAGATTCATCCATGCGTCGGAGCCATTCCCATCTTAGTCTTAATGTGATGCCATGCTTGAACAGGTCAATGACTCCCAACCCTCCCATGTTCTTTGGCCTGCACACCCTAGTCCAGGAGACAACACATTTGCCCCCATTCACCGCCTCTGTCTCAGCCCAGAAAAAAGCCCGACAGCCTTTGTCCACTCTTTCCAGTGCCCATTTTGGTGCCTCCGCGACCATGAGGTGATGAGTGGCACGCGCCCTCATGACTTGATTGACAAGAATGAGTCTCCTAGGCCTCGTCACTAGACCCCTTTGCCATCCTGGCAATACGTGCAGAGCTGTATCAACTATCGGCTGCTAGTCGGATCTTTTTAGCTATCTTATGCTTAGCTGGAGCCCAAGGTATTTGCACGGGAAGGTGTCAATCTTCCATGGCAGTGCAGAATTGACAAGCTCCTCATCCTCACTCTCGGCCCTGATCATGATTGCCGCTGATTTGGCATAGTTTACTTTGAGCCCTGATGCCACTCCGAATATGGTGAGAATTTCCTTAACGAACATGAGATCTGGCGTAGTCCAGGAGACAACACATTTGCCCCCATTCACCGCCTTTGTCCCTATTCGCTGGAAGCTAAGGTTAACAACCCGTTAACAGCCCAAGTCGTGCAATTTACTGAGCCGAATGTAATGGAAGCTAAGGTTGGACCAATCAACGTCTTCAATAATGCAGCATGGTTGCAGTATGTGATCTATTGCTTTCGAGTCCAAAGATACAATGGAGCCCACAAATTCTGATCCTTAAGTGCCAATCTGCGTTCGTAGTTGTTTCTTCAATTTCATAGCATAAGTCTTCAACATGTGAACCTACACTCTTCACAGGATAACAAACAGCCAGAGTTTCATTCAAATCCATTGCGCCAGCAACTGCGGCATGAAAAGTTGGCTCAGTCAACCGAAGCAACATCGACCCCGGCACGCAGAAAAAGGGGGAAATGGAAATATCACCACCGGCCCGCATCAACCTCTCCCGCGCAGCACAAACCCGCCTATAGCCAGCCAATGGCATCACAACACAAAGAAAGAGGCTAATTTAATGGAGCCACCATCATACTATGTCGCCAGAGCCGACGTGCATGCTGGTGGGGAGAGTATCTGACGCTACCGAGGCTTAAATGTTACTGTGATATGGGCATCTGGGCCGTCGGATTCTTAGATCGGATGGCATCTGGGAGTTGTTGGATCTCATAGACCTATGCGCAATTTTTGGACTCCTCCGAGGTGTTTTTTTGCAAATGTTGCAGAGTTATTGAGAGCCGTTCGTTCTAAGAATCCGACGATCGAGAAGCCCGTACCACGGTAGCACGTAAGCCTTGGTAGCACTAGATATTTTCCCCATGCTAATGTCCTTACTACAACAACACGGGCAAAATAAAGTGCATGAGATTGAACCAGAACGGCTGGCTGACCCCAAGACCGAACCCGCTAGCCCACTATAAGAAATATGTCAACTTATGACCACCATCATTGGTCACTGAAAGGTCACAAATTTCCATTTATGACCTTTTTGTGACCAAAAACAGAAGGTCAAAAGCTGGGCGTCGTAAACTGACTATAGCGACCTTTCTTCTGGAATGGTCAAAGACGTTTACGACCAAAATATTCCTACTGTGGCGTTTTGGTCACTAGCAACCTCCCCAGGCCACGTAGGCATCCAGCGTGGCAAGCTGATGTGGCACAAGATTCAGCCCGGTCCGATTTGGTGTTCTACATGGGCCTAGCCCAACAATTCAACCCATTTATGTTTTTTTGCTGCTAATTTTGGTGAACTACACGGGCCAAGCCCTACAATTTGGCCTTTTTATTTTTTGGGCCATGGCCTTTTTGTACCAGCAGTTTTAGTTTTCTTTTTTTATAAAATGGGCCCATTAGTCAAACAGGTCCCGCTTGTCAGGTTCTGATAAATGGGTCCCAGCTATTAGGCTCAGATTCTTCATATTTCAATTTGACATCATATTTGAATTTCATAGTAAGAAAATAACCAGTATTTAAATAGGCAAGCAGAAAACACACATAATTATTCAAATAACAATAGCCAGATTAACTACAAGCTCTACAAATGACACGTAATACAAGCTCTAACAAGCTCTACAAGCTATACAATGCTTTACAAACTCTATAAATGCAAAGCTCTACAGTACTTTACAAGCTCTCCAAGTAATGTTACAAGCTCTACAAGTGTTTTCTTCTTCAGCATGGAGCTCCTTCAACAGCGATCAAATGTCGGACTCACGGACACGTAAATCAACAGCGATCAACAGTACTTTACAAGTCAGGACTGGGCTGACAGAAATACAACATGCCTTCCACAGTCGCCCTGTTACATGAATCAGCTTAGAAGAATTAGAAAAACTGGAGCCAATATATTATGAACATTCCATTCAAAAAAAGGAGTAAAGGAGTAAAGGACAATTTTTTATAGAATGATAAACACATTTCAGCTAGTACAAGTTAAAATGAGGTATTCATACAAGACAACAGATATAATATGCATATGCATGGCACAAGTGCATGTCCTGCTACTTAACTTCAACACATTGTGCTGAAACAACAATATCATTATACTACAACAGCCACCCAATCAACAATCTAACATTACTAGTCAGAGCACACAAACTATCAGCACATGAAGACGAACCACGAATGGAATCGGAGAACTCACATGAAGACGATGAAGGCGCTCGGAGGGTGCTTGGCCTTGCTCTTCTTCACCGCAAGCCTGCGCCGCCACCACAGAAACAACATCACCAAACCAAACAGAATCAAAATCCAACGCGAAACAGCAGCAGCCACCAAGGGAACGAAACGAGATGGGAGACGAGCAAGGGGTCGGGGCGGGGCATGAATGTGTAAATGCATGAATGGTTCTTCAGATCAACTTCAAAGCTAGCAGCAAGCATGTTTAAACAACTTAGCAACATTATCAAAGAGTGCATGAATGATTTCTTTTTCTAAAGCAAGCATCATCAAAGAGTACTCATACAAGAGAAGTCTAAAAAAGACTACATCAGTACCTAACTAATGCTGCAAATTATATTAGCTAACTAATACAACAGTATCTAACTAATTATATTAGCTAACTCTTGCAAAAATGGAGCTGGTTCTCTCTAGGATTACTAGTCAGCTCACACTTTAAACATAACATTTGTTCATCTTATATAACAAAAGAACTTAGAAATGTCGATCTACTACTCCAGAAATGCAATATGTAAACCCAGCTGGAATTGATAACTACAAGCTACAACAGCTCAAAGTGGCAGTAGCTAAAACGCAAGCATTGTTCAAAGACAAACGACAAGAATCCCCGTAATGGATTGAACTCAATGCTCAGCAGCAGGTGGTGCTTGGCCTCCAGGTACCCCATGCCCTCGCCCGTCGGCAGCTGGTTCTTCCTCACCTATAACAATACACAAGCAGTCAAGCACGCCATGAATCAAACTGTGAGTCAACAGATCAGGGCAGAATCAATAGCCTAGTGTTCAGGCATAAATAAATTATAAAATTATCAATGCTGCTTCATTGAAACTGAGAAGCAGAAACTAGAGTACAAAATAGTAACCAAAACAGTTACGTATATCCCTAAGTAATGTTATATGTTAAAAAACTATCAAACAAGACCTGTTCGACTATTCCATTGTTTTCCAATTGGTTTCAACGAAGTGTTGTGAAACATGTATGTGTCTTAACATAACTCCTAAGAAATGTTCACAACCTGAATTAACTATGCGATTATGTATCAATCACCCAAATCCACCACTTACAGCCATATCAGCATCTGGTTGATGATTGCAGTAGTTGTGTGGGCATTTGGTATGTTCATCCTAGTAGTTGAACACTAATCATTTTCCACACAAGTAATTTACTAGACCAGTAGCACTAGTACTAGCTCACATCTCAAAAGCAAACTGCTAGAATTATTGTCGCGTCTCTGGTTGTTTATTCAACGTTGATTGATCACTAGCCAGGCTTCATACACGCAGATCGCGGCACGAAAATAGAGGATGAAGAAGGGGAACGAGGCACGGGTGGGAGAGAGATAGGGGGAGGGGGAGGAGCTCACCGCAGTCCTCCATCGTGGGTGGAAGTCGTCGAGATCTGAAAGGCTGGCGGTTGTCGCCATGTCTGGCTTCCTCATGTGCTGCGTGCGAGGTTTCCATGGCATCGGGCTTATCCATGGCGTCCTCCTTGACCAGACGATCTGCAAAAAAACTGCACAAACGCAATGAGAGTCGAGCAAGATGAAGAAATCTAGAAGGAGGAGGAGAAGAAAGGGGGGAGTCCATACCAGATCTCACCTGCATGCGCCACCTGCGAGGTGGCCATGGCGT